TACCAGATTTTCAGATATAAATAAAAATCCTGGCAATGCCAATTAATGCACTGAAAAATCTGAACGTGCGTAGTTTTTTCCGAAAGTTTAATAACCCTATTCACGCGTAATAGAAAGAAAATCGCGAATTTTGAAATTTGTTCAGTAGGCGCAATTAATAAATCAAACACACAAAGAAAATTTTGTCGTATTACGATGCATTTAAAAAAGAATAACGTTAGTAAAACAAGAAATTAGTTTTGTAGTTCAAAAGGACTGAAATGAAAACCTCTCTTTAACAATTTTTTTTTTTTGCAAATGCGTATTGTCTTAAGATCAAAACCATGACTAATTAGTCTCTACAGGTCTTTTAAAGGATTTGTATTTCAAGAGAATTCAAAAAGAGGCAGCAGTTTTTATTTAAGAAACATGCACACAAAGATGATAAAAGTAGGGGAAGCCTATGTTGTTCACATCCGAACTCTAGGTTTAATATGGGTGAAGGATTTATTTATTTCTTGAATAAAGCTCTTTGTGTGTTTCGTTATACAAAATCAGTAGATCAAGTGAGCTTGCGTTTTTTTTTAAAAAAAATATTTATAATAAAACATTGACTTAATGTATATAGCTGAATATATATTTTTACCATTAACGAAATAAACTATCTGCTGCTGATCTCATTTTCTTTATTAGATATACTTCAACATTTTACAGAGAAATAACAACATTAATTTTACAATTACTTCAACCAAATTATATCACTCCTCTTACAACCTCATTATTTTACTCTTTTTCTACCGCTCTTTACTCTGTCTTGTCTAATTCATTTGATACTTCCCATTTTTGTAGAGGATACAATTGCCTGAAGCAGTTATCGAAACAGCAGTATCTGTTGATTAAACAGTAACAAACAATTTGAAACAATTAATATATCTATTATTCGTATGTATATAATTGGCATATACATAAAATGTGTATATGTTTATCTGTATAAATCATGTATATACACTTGTAATTCACCGCACATTGTTACAAAAAGTGTCATGTTATTTGTAAGGCTAATAATTTGAAGCCTAGGGTCCTTACATAGATTTAAAGTTTATAAATTCTAGTTCACAATTTTTTCACACATAAACTTAAAGTAAACTTAGATGTGGATAGAAGTATTTATATAAACACCTTGAGACAATCATGCTTGTAATAAGCATATTGACCAGTTGATTTGTCAGCTCATTTAATATTTGGGGCTTCCGCCTTTTGCTTTGTATAGAGCAGGGGTGTCCAACACTCCTCCCGCCAGTACGTAAGTTGGGGCCCACCGACTCTTTTAAAAAAATTTTTTAAATAGCAGATTTTTAAAGTTTTTTCATTTTGAAGGGAAATTTATATATATATAACAAGAACATGTAACAGGCAAATACTATATATATATATATATACATTGTATTTGCCTGTTACATGTTCTTGTTTTAAAATAAATCCTTTTTGATAATAGAAATGTCCTTTAGATTAAAATAGATTTATATTTTATTAAACAGTTTCATTTGATTTTGCTATAGTAAAATACTTTTTTATAGGGACGTGGTTAGCCTAGTGGAGGCAGTCCCAGATGCTTTTTAAAGTTTAAAAAAAATATTCAGGACGGTTAAGATAAGGAAAATCCATACTTAATCGTTTGCGAATGACAGCACTATCAAATTTCAACAATGGGTAACGAAAGATCAATTCAATAGGAACACACCGTAATTTTCAAGAAAATGGCAACTGTAATATTTCAAACATGATTTGATTATTGCATTATTATATTATATAAATATTATTATATTATCTATGTTTGTGTATACATGAAAAATAATTAAAACAATAATAATCATTCTGTTTTAAATTTTCACTCCAATGAATGTTTTTTGTTTTGTTTTCAAATCTGATATAAAGGTACATATTTTTATGTGTGGCCCGCGAGATTATGATGTTTTTCCGAAGTGGCCCGCAAGGTCATTTGGGTTCTACATTCCTGGTATAGAGTATTAATTCGTCGTGGGGTATTGAGACAATAAGCTTCTGACATGTCTCTACAAGGATTTTAGGTCATGCTTTATTAATTGATATTTCTAGTTCTTTGAACTTTGTTGGAATGTTATTCAGCTCTTTTAAATGTCTTTCCAGTTCATCCACAGATTTCCGATTCTACTAATATCTGCCCTTCTGATGGCTATTTTCGATGATGAAATACACATTTTTATGGTTAAACCAGGTCTGTATAGTTTGGCGTGATGGGAAGAAGCATTGTTGTCCTCATATATTCCGTTACCATCTAGAAACCAATCTTCGATTAATGGCTTAACAACATTTTCTAGATGAGATAAGCACTCATTTTTTAGTCTTATATCTCTTAATCTTAGACGTACGGTATATTAAGAGATAGAGTCGATTACTTTGACAAGTACTTTTTCTAAGATATTGCTGAATGTTTTCAATTTAAGAAAGAATAAAAATAAAAATAAGTGGTAAGTGGCAAGTCATTTGGCCACTATGTTTTTTGTTTAATGTTTAGGCAACTTAAATCTCTCTGCTATCAAATCTATTAAGCTAATCCATCACACAAGACCATCATTTAATTGTGTTGTTTTTGCCTAAATCAGCGATTCTGAAACTTTGAGGTGCTACCCCTAGGGGCAGGGACGCCCTAAGACTCTTTGAGGCCCAGGTCCAAGAGAGATCTTAAGATTTTTTTGAGGTCGTGGGCCTCTATACAAAAGTAGGTCCTACCCACTGGCGTAGCTAGCTCTGAGGGGGCCCTGTATCAAAATTCTTTCGGAGCCCTTTTTAAGATATGGAAGCTTTGTTAGTGGACTGTAGTTACACATGTTGGGGCCCCTGTAGCTTGGGGCCCCGTCTCATTGATACGGCTAATGCGGCGGTAGCTACGCCCATGGCCCTACCTGATATCTTAAAAATAGACAGTATCATGTGTAGTGAAATACTTGTTCAAATGGTAATTTGAAACAAATAAATGTGCATGACTCCCAATCTCAAAAACCTAGTTTAATTGTTTATGGTACTAAGCATAGGCTTAAGCCAGTGGTCAAGTGGTAGCGTATCGCGCTTCCACACCACAGGTCCGGGTTCTATTCCCGGGCTGGGCAAGGTCGACTCATCCTTTCATCCCTGTCGCAGTGGGTCGACAAATGAGGAACAAGATTGCTTGGGGACTTAAGCACTCGGGGTCTGGCTTTAGACTCACCACCCGATCGGGACATCTGCTCATGCACCTCAGCGCCCAATGGTCACGTATACTGGGATGGGCACAGTAGGTCCTGGCCCTCATGGGCTGTTGCATTACTGAGTTTGAGCTTGTATTAAGCCTAGGCCTAGACATGGACAACGGTCATCACATAATAATACAATGCTACCACTTTTGCCAATAAACATGCAATTTGGAATAATTCCCTGTTTTCCAGAGAATATGTACAGGAATAAGATTTGACCATTAAAATATCTGGATCATGATCTTATTAAGACAGAGTCGGAATGAAACGAGGTCCCCCCTGAGAGTAAGGCCCTGGTCCCGGGCCCAGTTGGTCCATGCCTTA